CAGCTTGTCTGAGGGGTCTCCAATCCCTGTGGAAGGTGCCCTTGAGGCCCTTCTGTAGAACTTGCGACCAGGGGCTTTTCCGAGGCGTCTCTCCTGCAGGTGCCCTCGAGACCACACTGCGGCATGGCGGGGAGACGCTCCGGCCTGGGCAGACTTCTCAGGAAGAAGAACGAAGGCCCCGGGCCTGCCCCAGCACGCCAACCTGAGGAGATGCAAAACTTCCAGCCCCTGCAGCAGGGTGAGTGCTGGAGATGGGCCACAGACCTGGGGGCTGCAGCCAGTTTGGCCCCTTCCCATCCCCTGTGGAACAAGTCCAGGCAAAGGGAGGGGGGGAAGAGGGGCCAAGGCTGATCCCCCCAGCATCCGTGCTCCTTCCACTGGGCATCCTGATGCTGGCCCAGACTGTGGAGCACAGGGCTGGGCTGTGTTCTCTGCCATCTCCCACAACCCCTCAGCTCTGACTGCAATTGCTCTTTGGCAGATCCAGGCCAGCACCGGACAGAAGAGCACGTCCGTTCCCGTGGCCGACTCCGCAGAGCAGTTCAGGTACCTGCAGCCATCTCCACCTGGGCTGCTCCTGCTGTCATCGCTCAGCCAAGCACATCTGTTGGAGCACTCCATCGCAATTTCCTCTCTTCCCTGCCCTTTCTTCTCCTGCAGAGGTTTCTGAATTTCATCGGGATTCGGCGGAGAACACCCAGGACCACACCATCTGAGGGTGTGGCACAGCCTGACACCAGGCCAAACGACCTCAAGGAGAAGTCTGATGTCAGCTCCGTGCCAACTGATCCCACGGCAACCTCTGACACTGCTTTGACCCATGACCTGACAAGCCCTGCCACCGCACTGACCCATCTCACGGCAACGGCTGACATCGCACCGATTGATCGTGCAGCAAACCCTGACGCCGCTTTGGCTGATGAGACAACCACCTCTGGCACAGCACCGACTGATCTCATGGCAAAGGCTGACATCGCACCGATGCCCATGGATGGCACATCAAACCCTGACATGGCACCAATGGACGACACGGAAATCTCAGGCCCTGCGATGACTGATGATGTAACAAACGCTGAAATGACACCGACTGATCTCATGGAAAAGTCCGACACCACAACGACTGAGAGCATCGGGAACGCTGACACCACGCCCACACAAACTGTGACTGATGCTCCCAATTTGGACTTTTTCAAGGAAAAAGGTGTCTCCAGTCAGAAGCAAGTAAGCAGCCTGTGGCCAGGGATTGAGTCCCCCAGGGGTCTTGTTGCACCTCAAATCGCGTCTGCTGGACCCCTAAGCCTTTCAGACCAGCACAGTGTGGGGAGAAGGGAAGCATTTCTTGGGGGAAGCAGGGCAACTTGCTCGCTCTGCCAGCTCTCCAACTCTCCCCCATTCCCCCTCCAGGTGCCAGCCATCGTGAGGTACATCCACCAGTGCCTCACCTTCCAGGTGTCTCCAGATGTCAGCCTCCACACCAACATTCTCAGACTGGCAGGTGCACACCCCTGTGACGTGGTGATGTCTCTCCTGAGCTGTGCCCCAGCGTGTGACAGGTAAAGGGCTCAGCTGCCCTCCTGGATCAGGGCTTGCCAGACTTGAGAACCAATCACCCCACAGAACCTGTCCCACCTGCACTCACAGACAGATGGAGACTTCCAGGACCCTATGACCCCTCCATTTCCCAGCCCTGGCATGTCAGCCCCCAATCCTGCTGCCATGTGCCCTCCCTGACCCTCAAGGCACTTTGACTCTGTCACCCGGGCCCCCACAGCTGCCCAGGACAGGGCACTGTGGCCGACAGCCCCCTGACACAGGGCTCTGGCTCCACAG